CTTAAAAATGATCATCGTTGGCAGCTTTATGCCCGATGCTGCGCGGCTCAAAACACAGGTAAAATGTGTTCTCTCGTGGCCGCTTGTTTTCAGTATGACGGGGGAAGTCATACTGAAAATTTTTAATTACAGTCCGAGTGAGAGGCAAATCAAATGTCAGAGGGCCTTCGTCCATATTTATTATTTCATCTGGGCTGATGGAATTCTCCTTATCTTTGTTTGTGTGAATGTGCGGAACGAAGCAAGTTTGTCCTCGTAATTGGGAGGGAGCTGCTGACACAACGTCGTGCGTGCCCTAATAGACAGGCTTCCATTTCATGAATCTATAACACCACGACAGCCCACCTTTAAAACCTTGAAAAGCTTTGGTTGTCTTTTTACACTGGCTCAGTTCTTCTTGCCAGTTCTATGCCAAGATTAGGCCAAAAAAAAAAGATAGTGTGTTTCCGGTGACAAGAAATTTCAGCATAGGGTCGGTAGGTCGGACAAAGTTTTTTTTTTTTTTTTTTTTTTTTTATTTCCCATCAAAAATTTAAACAAAATAGCCATAAAACAAGAAGACATAGAACCCGCCGCTCTGCGGCCGCCGCCGCCTATTTAGTTTTCTCCGCACTCCGGACTCGGGGGCCGGGGCGTGCCGCCCCCTCCGCCGTCCTCCTCCGCCCTCGGTTTTTACTCGGCCCGTGGTGTTCATCAAATAGTTCGCTTTAGTTTTTCGATACATCAATGGATGCTATTTTCTTAACAATACGGTGCGAGCACGCGACTGTAACACAGAAAACGCGGTTTAAACTGTCGTCGGAGATCGCGGCCGCCGCCATGTTTCAATGTTGTTGACAGACGACAGGGCAAACGACGCACGCGCTCAACGTGAATATAGCGAGAGTTTGCACCGATGTAAACCCTCTACACAAAAATGTAGAGGGTTGTTTGAAAAAAATGCCGACCGTAAAGTTTTTTTTCGACATAGAAATTCTTGGTCGGTCAGGTTACCGGAAACACATTACTTTTTTTTCTACGCCTTACGGGCAGCAGCTCGATTTCCTTCTTTAACTGCCAGTGGTTCCCAATACATCAATTGCGATCGACCGGGAGCCAGCGGACTGGTCCCAAGTCCAGCGCGAGCGTTTCGAGGAGGAAATGGGGGCGAAAAAACCTTTGTATGTCTGTGTGTTTCGATTTCATTCATGTTCGGTGACGTTCCGGCTGTCGCTCATCTCGGCGTGCGTGCGTATGCGCACGTGTGCGTGGTTGGGCGTCTGTGCGTGCGTGTGTATATGCTTGCACATGCACGATCGGGTTGATCGCGAGAGGTGCGTTGCTTCAAAAGTCGATCTTCGGTCAAATATGTAGCAAGCTGACCCAAGTAGCAAGTAGCCACTGCAGCTCGTGTGTGTGTGTGTGTGTGTGTGTGTGTGTGTGTGTGTGTGTGTGTGTGTGATGTGGCTCTTTCCAGTAACACAGTAAAAAAAATTATCTTGGTCTCTGACTGGTTGGCCACCCCTGCACTTGGAGAAGGGTGCAAACATATGACCCCTATAAATATACAAAAATGGGCTAGAATTCAGAGCTCACTTCCTCTTCATTTTAGTCGGTGGCTGGAATGGACTTTTTTTGTACATCTCTGGGTGATACACGTGCTGGAAAATTTTTGTAGGCCATGGTCAAAGTACGGGATTGTTTTTTATTGTTGCCACTCTAGGTGGCTCTGCAGAGTCATTTTGTTTTCATCGTTCATGACGACTTTAAATATCAAAATTTTCACCAGCTCCAATGAGTGTGGCATGTCTGGTGAGTTTTCGAGAATGTTTAGTTCCCCCGAATTGTGATTCATTTTTGAGGGGAATAATAATAATAATAATTTTCACAAAAACAATAGGGACATCTCTGCGGCTGCTGCTCAGCCTCTAATGAAGTTGGGACCTTGTGTTAAACATAGATAAAAACATAATTCAGTAATTTGCAAATCATGTTCAATCTCTCTTTAATGGAATACACGACAAAGACAAGATATTTGAAGTTCAAATTGAGAAACTATTGTTTTTAGAAAACAGTTATCAACTTGGTATTTTACACATTCCCCCCCAAAAAAGATGGGACAGGATCATGTTTGCCACTGTGTTACATAACCTTTTATTTTAACAATATTCATTAAATGTTTGGGAAGACTGACCCTGGTGTTGAGTGTTTTGATTTTTTTCGTTTGCAGTTAATTATGGAGGCATCGAGGCAAACAAGCCCCCCAGACTCGATTTCCCAGGATGTGAACCCTGTATTTTTTCAACAACTTCGGGACCTGGATATTCCAGAAGAGGCAGCTAAACAGGTGCAACAAGACACTGTACATCTTTAGTGCGGGTTTGCTGTCCTAACTTTTGGGATCTTGTAAAACTCAAGACTACATTTGAAAGTCTTATCTTGGCTTTAATTCCCATAAATCTTGGTCTTGTCTTGGTCTTGGTCTGGGACTGGCTCGACTCTGGATTTTCCATTCAGACTCTTCGAAACCATCATTGATCTCCTATTTCTTCAACTTTATTAATGTGGTAATCGGAGAAGCGCTTGCTAAAACAACAAATGCCTTCAATTCAGATGTTACGAGGACCCCACCACCAACGTCATGACTGCAACCTACAGGGAGGTTTTTTTTTTCATAGACAGGGCATTATTAACAGACCCCGCATGCATGTTGAAGACAAAATTGTTCAATGCTCATCTTTCTAAAATGCTACCAGGTTAAATCTTTATTGTTAAATACAGTGGCGGGCCGTGCATTTCAACCTTAGGCCTTCAGTGACGTCACATACATGAACGCAATACTGTATAGGCTCGTCAAGCAGCATTTGATTTCAGCAGCATTTAAAACCGTCAAGTATGCATTCACAATTAAGAGCAGGAAACTAAATTTACAGATAGTCAAAAATAAAAAGATGATTTAAAAATCCGAAATAAAATGCCACCCAAATTACGCTGTGTGATCTTAAACAAGTCTGTCCAATAAATTGCGCAATGTCGCAGTTTCAAACAAGACACCAACCAAACAATCACAAAACAAACTATTCTTTGAAAATAAACAGATCATTTGCATTTTGAAAATCGGCGATACAACAATAAATAACTGAAAATGTTGAGCAGCTGAGATTGAACGAACTTTCGTGCACTTGAAGGTGACTACAATGCGCCATTATAAATTGCAGGTGAGGAGATTTATTTGACACATTTTTGTATCTTTGTCATTTATTTCGTTACCATGAATTTAATACTAACGAAATAAAATGACAAGAAAAAATTCATTTACTCACCAACATCGTGCCTGTTCACTGAGGTGCAGATCTACGCGAGTGTCCTCAAACGTTTTTAAATGCATCGTAGCTTGTAAGTGCCCAGCCGTTTCCTTGCTGCCTTAGTAAAACAATCCAGTGTAGCTCCAAACACCAAATCGGTCAGTTGCAAGCAATAGGCATTCCCAGCAGTACGAGTTGCAGCATTTCACAGAGGCTGTGAGCCACGGGTAGCGTTCATAATTGCT